CTCTCTCTCTCAGTGGCAGGGCTTTAACATCCCACACCTTGCACACAAACACATGAGCACCCAACACTTTCATGTACCCAAAGTTTAAATGTCCAAAACCAAACTAGTTGGACAGGCTCTTCCTCTCCCAAGCCTCTATACTGTCAGTGACATGTCTACTGTATACCAATCTAGTGAGATAGTGGTTTTAGGATACAACAGGATTCATGCAATAATGAGCAGTGACAGGATGTCACCCACACTGCCATGGATCACCCTTTACCCCCCTCACCCCCCACCCACCCATCCAGCTGGGGACACCTGCTGCCAGCCTGATGTCACCTCCACTCCCCCGCTCTTCTCTCCTCTCCTCTCATCTCCTCTCCTCTCCTATCCTCTCTGCTCAGGGGTTACTTAGTGATGCTGCTGATCTGGCTGTGCGGGAGTTCACCTGCCCTCCTCTCTTCTCCTCTCCACTCCACTCTGTCATGGTCATCTCTATCTTGTGGGCCCAACATCAGCCTATCAGAGCCCTAGCTGTGTCTGTCTGTCCAGTGTCTCCCTGAAGCCCATGTCTGTTTGTACTAATGAGATGAGTATCTCTGAGCAGCGCCCTCTAATTAAGTAAAGAAAGCAGCTCTCCTTCCCACTTACAAGACCGTTTTATATACTATCTCACTCCGCATCCTGATAAAAATAATTCCCATAAGGAAGCAATAACACATTTGGATAATTCCAAGCAGATGTGAACATGCCCCAGCAAGTTAACAAGATTGTGCTGGATGTGCAGAGCAGAGCAGGAAGTGTTACGGTGTCTGAGCTGCAGCACCACAGTACACTCTAAGTGGGTGGACCTGGCAGATAACTAGCATGGTCCTGCCAGTAGTCTGCTCTGCAGCAGTCACACCTGTCTGAACACAGCCCAGGCCACAGAGGAGCGATAGAGACCGTACTGCCACTCTATCATCTCTATATGGACATGAAATACTTTATAAGAAATATTGTTGTGTTTTTCTTCAAGATTATAATTTATCCAAATATGGCTCAAATTGAAATACACAATGCACACCAAGTGGAGCTCACAAGCTGTGTGTGAAAGAAGAGACTACAGAGAGAGAGAGAAATAGTGCTCTGTATTATGAAGGAGTCTTGTCTTATAGTAGACTGTAAAATAACAAGAATCTCTATGATTTGTGTTTTTCAAGTGTTGGACATTGATAAAGGACCCAAGATTTGCTATTTTTCTTAGTGGAAAATATTTGCATTGGTAGTCTGTGTGCAATTTAGTTGTATGTTGTAAATAGCTTTTTCTCCTTTCCAGTGGGTACTACTGTACAGTGTGCAATTTGTTTCAACTCTGTAATGTACACATTTACACATCAACAAAAGGATAAGCATTCCATTTTTTTTGCTGAAGATACTATTTATTATCAAAGAGAGAACAGCACTGGGGAAGTAGTATTATGTTAGGGAACTTTAAATTATGTTAGGAAAATGTAGTATTATGTTAGGGAACTTTAAATTATGTTAGGAAAATGTTTAATGAATGCTTCAAGATGGTAACACCACATACAAGATGCCATTAAAACTATATTCATGCAATACCTGACTTTGTTCAGAACTATAATGGTTAAATAAGCAATGCCTCTCATCAAAGGTTGGCTTTCTTTGTGTACGTCCAACATGAATAGCTAAAATTTGTACAAGGCACTATGAGTTGATGCAGGATGGAGATAGGATGCCTTGCAGAGAAACAGCAGTATTCACCTACAAGCTAAAAAGAAACTTGGGTAATTGCCATGTCACAAATAATGAGAGGCTTTGTAGCAAAGTGTTTGAAGAACAACCCCCAGATCAAGATAAGATTGTAGACAATATGATAAAAGGGGAAGTGTTCTCTGTCTTGTGAAGAGAAACACAAGTGACAGTCCCTTATTGGAATCAGATGCAGAGAGGTGTGTGTGTGTGTGTGGGGGGGGGGGGGGGGGGGGGGGGGGGGGGGGTACTTCCATCAGCCATTCGTTTACCTCGTGAATATAGAGGACATAGGGAGGAGGTGTAAAGTAAATACATCGTCGCCCACTAGTGGACATTAGCGTACCTCATTGCACCATCATGAGAAACGCGCCTAAAAGTATTAAGGTGATCATGCAGCCAAAATGACAACACAATGATTCTGTGAATGATATAGCCCACCATGCTTAATGCTAACTCACCTAAAAAAGAAGTATCGTCTTTTGGTGTCATGGTTTGACAAGAGTTCAGAATCTCAGTTAGTGAACAGGAGCGGAGGATGCGTTTTTTTCTTGCAATGTGTTTGTCCTTGTGACAAAATGTACGAAATAAACCTATAAAATATAGTCTTATAATAACTTAATTTAATAATAAAAGGTAACGGGGGTGCTTAATTTTTCATTTGACCACAAAAGTGAATTGTGGCTGTGGATTGCAAACACATGCATTGAGTGAATAATGCATGGCTATTTCCGTTATTTTTTACATAGCCCTTATTGGAGACCTAAATGCAAGGGGACCAGACTAAACACAATGTTATAAAGATATTGGCTGATAGGTTGATATTGACATTGTTAGGCCTAATACTCTATTATGTGTAACTTTGTTTTTAATAATATTAACCATTATTATCATCATTATCATGGTTATCAGCATTTTTGTTTGCATTTTATTTTGGCCTACATAAAGATAGACATAGAGGGGCTCTCAATATCAACCCAAATAACCCACACTAAAGAAAACCAAAGTGAAGATAGAACAAAATGTGGATGTTTACTGTTTATTGGCATATTATATTGATTTTATAATATTTACATTTTAAAAATCAAAATCCTTTTACATGAATTTCAAAAAAGCAAAGACACAAACTTGAAATGACAGTTGAAGTTTTAAAAAAATCATACTGAACCTGCCTTACATTATTTAGACATTTGAAATACACACTTGAGGGGAAGTTGATTTACATACGTATTTCTATCGAGAGAGAGAGAGAGAGAGAGAGAGAGAGAGAGAGAGAGAGAGAGAGAGAGAGAGAGAGAGAGAGAGAACTTATTGGTTACATACCTCCTCCCTAAAGCCAGTAGAAAGACAGCCTATGTTTCCATCTAAAGAATGTTTTTCTGGAAAACGCTTTTGTTTGGTTTTCACGTGATTGATGCTTGACTTAATCCAATGCTCGGTGAGTCTTCCAAGGAGGGTGAGGCGGGCTCTTTGTGCCTGATATCCCATGTGAAGCAAACCAAAGTGGCAGAGTTAGGGTCATAGCTATTCGGCAGGGTACCAGGTCCTCCCCATCCGCGCATCTGCATGTGAAATCGCCATTTCACCCCTCCACACTCCCTAATTGTTGCAAAAATTATTTGTGAAATTGCCTTCAACCAGTAGTGTTTTCCACAGCAATTGTCACACAATTTTCTATGCACGGCAGGCCCACAGAGTTGACATACGCGACTTTCAACTTAGTCTTCTTTCTTAGGCTACTTAAGAATGTAGGCTAATAGTTTTAACCTATTACTTTTATTAGAATGGGCTTTAAGCTATTGCTATTTGAAAGGTCCCTCTTGTAAATGTTCATTACGCCTACCTGTTAGGCTATTGGCCTACTACCATCATGGATCGGTGTAATTTCTGTAATTACTCATAAGCTTGCACGTTTTACTGAAAACGATTTGACGATCTCGACACGCAATTTTAGGCCTAATTGATGTTAAAATATTAATATCCAAAATAGAATGTCTTCACCTATATTGTACTATTGAATTCCACGGATGAAACAGCAATAGCAATAGGAACCTTGTCTGCATGAAATATGCTACCGCAAACTCGTACAGGCCTATCCTACAGGTGTTTTCTGCAGAAGAGAACGCGGGTGATAAGGCTAACTAGTCGATTATATTGTTATCAAATCAATAACGCTGCTGAGACGGTTAAGGAAACCCCCTCTCATTCCCTTGAAATTTGCTGAATTAGCTTACTCTGCTGAATCCAGTCTGTGAACAAACTGTAAAAATGTAAATTCCTGTGAGCTATACTTTCAATAAAAATCACCTCTAATACATCTAAGTTAACTTTTTAAAATATTTTATTTATATTTATTTATATTATATTTACATTTGTATTGTTTGAGTGAGTTGAACATTTTCCCGTCAGATAGGCCTATTAGGCCTAAATGTTTAAATTCTGTTTTGATCAGAATCTGCAATTGAAAAGTCGTAGAAACAGATGTAAACCAGATAGGTCTGTACTAATCCTGATTATTGGTCATTGCATGCTTTGCAACTCACAGTTAGGCCATTTAGGAAAATATAGATATACATTCATACATCTTGTTTGGAATGATTGATTCACTTGTGTGGACAAAGCAAAGAAGGAGTCGTGTTTTAATCAGGTATAAGGATTACCATCACATCTGTTTGGTTTTGTTTCTTAGTTTTGTAAAGTGATGCAATGAATTCAAAACGGGATGAGTGCGTTGCTTCCCATGCCGTTGTCTGATTGGTCGACAGGTCCGCAGCTATACCCACTCTCCCCATCATGAATAAAAGAAAGGCAATCGAGCCTATCCGCGCGCTCTACTGTCTCCTCCTACAACGCGCGCCAAAGTTGCCCACTTATACTACTTTCAACCAGCAAGCAGACGTTATTAAAACTAGCTGACCAAGTATATCAAGGTAAAGAATTAAATAAACTTTGCCCATTTACACATTTGAGTTCAAGGTGCATCCCCTCCCTTAACACAGCACAAAACCCTTTACCAAAGGGGTCTTCTTTTACCCCGCCAACTCACCAACCAGGTGACGAACATCACCACTTTTTCTGTTGGAAGGGTTTTTAGTATTTAGGAGTTTCTCTGACTGGGACAACGATTTTATTGTCTGCTTTTATATCCTTTTGAGAGGAGACATTTCGTCACATCCTGTCGGTTTAAACCTACATTTTCTTGTCTGGACTTTGCGCGAGTAAGAATTTGGTACCAGTGCCCACTCCGTGTTTCTTCAGTAGCTAGAATGGCTACTTTACCAGGAACAGTGCCTCGAATGATGCGCCCTGCGCCAGGCCAGAACTACCCCCGCACGGGATTCCCTCTGGAAGGTACGGCATCTTTTTAACTTGGAAAATCTTTCTCGAGAGTTGCAACAAAAACTAACTCATCAGTTTAGAGGGAGGTTACAGCTCATCTTTGTGAAAGATTGGGAAATATTATGCAATTGTGTTTTTGATTTGTTGTAGCTCATCTTTGTTAAATATTAGACAATTGTGTTTTCTATTTGTCTATTGCTTTATGTCTAGGCTACTATACAGGGAAAACATTGCTTGACAGGCCTAGATGTTGATTGTAGAAGTATAGGCCTACTTTAAATTGATTATTTATAATGTTTGTTATGTTTGCCTATGTCATTGACAATATGGGTGATCAAAATGTACTTAATAGAATGTTGAATGCGTAATAGGCCTATCCTCCTGATTGATTGGTGAGCTTTTTATGCAATTAAAAACGTACTAAACCAATGGCGACATGGTTGCTAAGATAACTTAATCAGTCAAATTATAAACCCTGCGAGGAAATAAACAAATATCTTAGCAAATGCGCGGAAAAATACAAATTTCTATTTGCATGTAGGCCTATTTATGGGAATCGTTCCCAATCACAGCCAGTTCGTGCGCCCGAGCTTTTAACGAAAATGCACAAAACCATGTAGCTTGCAAGTGACTAAAGCTCCAGGATTTGTTGAAGTATCCTGCTGCTGCAAATGGAAACCAAATACACAGCAAAGAGATAGCTCAAAGGATCACATCAATATTTGTACAGCATGACTAGAAATAATCAAGGTGGAAAGTGCCACACTCTTTAGTGCCTCTTGAATACGAAATTGGATCCTCAAGTGCTCTGTGGCACTAATGATACATCCTGCCAGCCAGGCTGACTGGGAATGAGTGTGGCAGGGTTCTCTACTAAGAATGGATGGGCTGTGGGATATGTTTGGAATGTGCCTATATTATAGTTTAGTATAATAAACCTTTGCTGCTATCAGCTCTCACAGTCTAATGTCAGAATTAGACGTTCATCCATTCGACACATCCATATAATTATTATTACTGTATTATTATCACGGTTGTGATGACGATAATGCTAATTAATATTATTATTATAGGCGTATGTGAATATATGATAATGGAATTTGGGCCTACAATTGATAGTGAAGAACTACAGGCCTAGGCCTACTCATTCTGTATTGAATTATTATCTATGTGAAATAACTCTCACGATATCAATTAATTTAAAGTTGGCCTATATAGTACCAAACGAATTTCACATCAACATATTTAATTGTTTATCCTTAACCTAATGTCACATTGCCCTCTTTGTCACTGCATTGTTGTCTAACTTGATCTCTTGCGCATTAAACTTTAACAATTACAATATCATCAGGACAATATACAGGACCTGAATATGTTTATTGTGGAACAGTATCAACCCCCCTGGGCCAAGGTCGGGTGAACCAGCTCGGTGGAGTGTTCATCAACGGGAGGCCGCTGCCAAATCATATCCGACACAAGATAGTAGAGATGGCCCACCACGGCATCCGACCCTGCGTAATCTCGCGACAGCTACGAGTTTCCCATGGTTGTGTCTCCAAAATCCTCTGTCGGTACCAGGAGACCGGTTCGATTCGTCCCGGGGCAATAGGAGGCAGCAAGCCTAGGGTGAGTGGAGGACTATAGTTTCTACATTATTTCACAAACTTCAGATAGCCTACCCATTGACCTGCCGTGTCAGATTATAAATTATTCTTCTTCTTCTTCTTCTTCTTCTTCTTCTTCTTCTTCTTCTTCTTCTTAGTTATCATGTCACGTGCATTTTACGCACCTTCATGCATGCATGATGCAACAATTTCCACATACATACATTACGAGTTATAGCCTATAAATTATGACTGTTGCATGGAGTGAAATACATGCAGTTTTGTGTGTGTTTGATTTGTGAGGTAGCCTATGAAGACATGAACCATACATCTGAAAAACAAAAAAGTCACTAGGGCTTCAATCAGGAAGTGGAGTAGCCTAGGCTATAGGGTCATGGCTAGAAGGTATCCAGCTTTTGTCGAATTAACGTCAGATTTGACTTTTCGTAGCAGGTTAGGAAAACTTACGCAGCAGGTTAGGATAATTAACTTAGCAGGTTAGGATAATTGGGTTAAGGTTAGGAATGGTTAGCTAAAATGCACACAAAAATCTACTTTTGACGTTAATTTGACAAAAGATGGATGGATCCCTTCTAGCCGTGACTAGGCTATAGGCCTTGACATGTTGAAGGAAGGCATGCGCCTACATTTCAAACTCCCCCTCAGGGAAACGCGTAGGCTATGTTAGGCTATGTGTATTTGTATATACATTACAATATCATGTTCTTCGTGTGAATTAAAAGTTGTTTCGACTTTCCTCTCTCTGTGTCTGGTCGTTGCACATTGTAAAACCCACAGCAGGTATCAACTCCGGACGTGGAGAAGCGGATTGAGGAATACAAGCGAGAAAACCCCGGGATGTTCAGTTGGGAGATCCGGGACAAGCTGCTGAAGGACGGGGTGTGTGACAGAAGCACTGTTCCTTCAGGTGAGGCTTCTGGTAAGCAACTTTTCGTTCTTATGGTGATTACTGTAAGGGTATGAGATATGACCCCATCCGTAGTCTGGTATGCACACGTTTGGTGTGCAGTTTTCACGTATTTTACTTATATTTTTGTAACTTCATTATTTTTTACCTTGTCTTTACATGAGCTGATGAGCATATAAATATGAGGAAATATACCATTCATTTGCTACACAAAGTACCGTAGGCCTTTTTTTTTGTAATCCAAGGCCTATTTCGTTTTCTCTCAGTGAGCTCCATCAGCCGAGTTCTTAGGGCCCGATTCGGCAAGAAAGATGACGACGACGATTGTGATAAGAAGGATGAAGACGGGGAAAAGAAAACAAAGCATAGCATCGATGGCATTCTCGGTGATAAAGGTAGGCCAACAAAGAAAAACATTGTGACTAAATCGTGTCATTCTTATTTATTTTACTAAACAATAAAACGTTAGGCGTACTTTTATCCTATACACACACTTCCACGATAATGCTCTATTAGGCCCATGCTTATTCCAATAGCAACATAATCAACATCATCATCATCATCAACAACTATTATTATTATTATTATTATTATTATTATTATCGTTATCGCTATTGTTATTGTTATTACATTTTAGTAGGCCTACACCCTATTCATATTAGGTCTATATAATTAATAATCATTATAATCATTATTATTTGGAGGTGAAGCTACAGTTGTTTTTTAAATAATTGTATCATTTTCAATTAGGTCAACAATTTATTTAAATTAATTTTTCTATAGGCTATATCTCTTGGGAAATTCTTACACTTTTATGGTAAATCGGAAGATCCTCTCGCAGATTGGTGCATTCATTCCTGCTTTGAAGTCACAGCCAGTCATTACTCAATTACTCAATTATTTATGTGAGCCCTGACGGAAGGTAGCCTATTTAGCTCCAGAAAATGTATTTGTGTAACAAATTCCTCTCGCGCTCTTTTAACGCTCTTACTAACCGACAGCTGACAGTTGACCCGTTTGACAATCAATGTCAGTTTAGAGGCACTACATCACTTGTCAGTTGAACTGAGACGATGAGGGCATCTTCTCTGCAGCCATATCCCTGTAATACTAATGGCAATTATGTTAATGCTTGCACACATTAACTAGTTGGTAACAAACGTTTTTGAAACAAATTATTAACATTTCAAAATAACAACGCTTATTGTGAATATTTACATTTTTAATATTATAGGTAATCGGAATACACTACATTATTTATTTAGCTAGTATTTTAAGATAACTCAGATTCATTGTTAATTCATATTTTTGTATAGCCTAAGCCTATATGAAACATGTCATTCAGTTGGTTGGTTCGTGCTATTGTGCCACTTGTCAGTGCGCTCTCTGTCATTGGATATAGAGGGAGAGAGAAAATCACAGTGCTTATACAAACCTGTCCTGAAAGAGACAAAGGTCGCCCTTTAAGAAGATCAAACATAATTGAATAGGGTTTAGATAAGAGTTCACAAAAAGCTTTTCCCAATAAAAAACACTGCCAAACTTCTTCGAACTTGAAAATGAACTTCAGTCGCAAAACCTCTCTCCAATTACGCTTTTCTAAAGTGAAGATTCCAAAGTAGGTCTACAAAGGCAAATCCTAGAAAGCAGGACAGCGAAAAGGGGAATGGTCCGGTCCATTCTCATTCGAAACCCCGCAAATAGAGAAAGAAAATAGTTTGGACAAAGGGCAAGGGTACATATAAAGGGAAATTAATTATTCAGTATACCCCGCTGGTAGATAGTTTTGTAATATTACGGAATAGTCTGTTGGAGGAGAATAGCCAACGCATTTCATGGTGCAAAACGGTGCTTTCTTTTTTTAAATGGTTTGTGTCCATTTATCCATTTAGAGGTCGGATCATTGTGTTTCTTAGCTGCATGGTGTAATTTTGGTCGTTTCAGTTTGTAAACAGATAGCCTTTGGCTATAGTCACTTCAGTCAAAATGACCCATTGGTAGAGCCAGTAACATTTCGGTTTCTGATTTCAAAGGGATTTTATCATGTTCCATTCCAAGGTGAACTTGTTGCCGAATGTTTAACTGCAATTTTATCTAATTGCTTTGCTATTTTTTCTGATGATGATGGTCGTTCTTATTCGATGCTCAACACACGAATAGAAAACAGACGTCCCGTTTGTTTACATCGAAATATTTGGTCGGCCCATGCCCTGCATTCTGAGATATGAATTTGCTTGCAACAGTGTCACAGCAGAATGTTGGAAACCTCACTAATGAAAGCGACAGATCTTTCCTCGTGAACTCAGAACACACCACATTTGCTTTTTAATTCTTAATAAGATTTGTATTTGTCCGGATGGCATTTAATAACGTTAAGACTTATTAGAGCAAGTAATGGAAACGTGTCTTTTGAATAGGCGGCTGTGTTCGAGTGGGGTGTAATAGCTTGCAGGCATGGTAAGAAATGTATTTATCCCCAATCAGCCCCTCACTCTCTGAGTTGGAAGCACAAACGTTATGTTGAAGGGTTTTAAAGCAGATTAAATTGAGTATTTTATTTATTTTCACTTTCATCTCTGAGCGGGGCTCACAGTGGCTCGCCCTGGTGACACATTTACGAGATTTCTGGTTTACTTCAGAGCTCTCTAGATTTATTTAATGTATTTATTTGTGTATTTATTCATAGGCTATATTTGAGTGTTGCATCACAGATTTATCTTCTGTGTAATCCGAAATGATAAAACAGGTAGGCTATTTTCAATGTATAATTTCAAGCAAGTTGCAATAGGCTAAGGCTAAATAGGGGTAGTTTAATGGAGATAGATCACCATGGTTTGTGGAGATGATATATAAGATTATATACAAGAGTATATAGAAAGCTATACTTACACTGTTTTGGGTGGTATCCCTAAACACGTGTTTATAAATGGAACGCAGCCTTAACCTATCTCATTTTGATAAGAATATCCATCCATATATCCTTTCCACAATTAAAGAGCATCCACCTGCCATCCTCAATAACGTGATAGTGATAGTGATGTGCTGCGATGACCCTGACAAGTTGAATTAGGCGACCAACGGGGTAAAGGGGTTAGACAAAACGCCACACGTGCATGTTCTCAATCCTGGAGAAGGTATATTGTTTGTGCATGACTGGTCAGAACGCCAGGGAAAGAATGAATCCGTCCATTTAAAAGGCACCATCTATAATAACTAAACCAACAAACTGTCCTCTGTAGCCTGCATGAATTGGCGAGGTGGAGGCAAGGGACACTTCAGCAAATCGTCGGATTACCTGCAGTTCTCAATATAATCAAACAGAGGTCAGACGGGCTTTCTGGGCGTTGGGAAGGGATCATGAGAGAGAGCATTGGAGAGCCACTGTGGTTTCAGGCAATCCGAGGCTCCAGGCTCGCTTTCTCTGTGTGCATATTCAATTAAATGACCATGGGTGTCGATTAAGAACAGGGATGTTTTATACAAAGGGTCAGAAAATAATCACGTCATCTATCAGATAACTGAAAAGTTGCAGACTTTGAAACGACGAACAAGCAAAACAAGTTAAAATGTATAAAGACCAAAATAAAGAAAGCTTTGAAATGAGTGTGTTCGATGCATGCATGCATATGGACAAACACACGCGCGCACGCACACACACACACACACACATCTCCGGAAATATAATGTAGCTATATTTCGGGGGCTAAAGCCGTGCTGAATGAGAAGGACAGGGGAATGAAGCGAGAGACCACTTCAAACAAATCCATCTGGAAAAGTGTGTGTGAGAGAGATTTAATAAAAGTATGGGGAAGTTATTTAGCTATTAATAAAAAAAATCCTCAGGCGTTGAGAGTAACTCCATCTGCACTTTCTTGCAGATATTTTACTGGGTTGAAATTGAGGGAGACCCAAATGTTGGGCAGAGATAACACACCCATCATAGCCCAGACCCTGCTCTGTGCTTCACTGCATTAAACTCGGATTAACCTCCCCGCAGCCCGCTTTCGCCACATTTCACTGGAATTTACATTGGTAGATTTCTTACACACAGAGGGCAAAAGCTGAAAACCCTGGCAACAGTTAATTATATAATCGATTAAGATATTATTGACAATAATAATATAAAATAATACGAATAGCCTAATAATATCCTATTATTATTATTATTATTATTATTATTATTATTATTATTATATATTCATAATAATATGTTCTGCTTCAAAACAATATATTAATTGCAATTAAGAAATCACATTGAGCTATTTAAAACCGTTTGTAAACATTTTAAATCAATTATAGCCTACAAAGACAATAGGCTACCAAATTCTGTCAAATAATGTAAATTAGAGACTACTGTAAGCATGCATGGCTATTTTATGGAAACGGCCAGTCAAAATCACGATAAAGACCATGTTGTAATCCTGGAACCAATCAAATTACCCAAGCCGGTCATAATTAGAATTCAAATAGGTTTGTTAGAAAAGCTTTGTCTTGATTTTGACAGGACACTGAATTTTTAGGCTCAAAACGCATAAATCAGTCACTGACATAGGCTAAAGACTAAACGCTCTCCAGTTTTGCTAATTTATGCTAAATCGTTTGCACCGAAGCCGAATCCTTCGACGCTGAACAATATTTAGCAGGGGTCATGGTTTACAAGCTTTTATACAATTAACAGTATCGTTACCCGCCACTGTGATAAAGGAACAATATTTTCACACCTCGTGTTGGTATCTGAACACACAGTGATGTATAGCCTATGTCACGCGGCTGATTTCTAAATAACACGTCAACCGATGGTAATGACAAGTTAAACGGATACAGACAACATTTGAACGATTAGGTCTCGATTCGTTCTGTCCTCGGAAGGAGCGTTAACGCGCAATTATACCCACTGTTTTGGGCGACCTGTGAATTTGAGGGGGACCGCGAATTTGACATGTGCAGGATTTTCGTTCTCCGCATTCTTGTTAAAAATAGAAAAAATTATAGAGAGCAAGCCAAGGAAATATAGAAAGTAGATGAGGACAACTCGATCCTTATGCTAATCAGAAACATTATTGTGGCGGCGCAAACACAATGGTGGTTTATCATACTGCAAACTGACAGACAGTGTTTTCAAGCCTGCGTGTCTTTTGGCTGGTCTGGTCTTTTAATTAAAGCAATGTTTGCCACGTGGGACAAGTCCTATCACGTGCACACTACTTAGAAGAATGGTTTTTCGATCTCTTGTGGGATTCTCCAAAATTGACAATCTTCCCTCTCCAGCTATTTAGGGGACATTGAGAAGTGTAGAAGAAGACATGGGGATTTCTACCTCATTTATAAAGAGAGTTCATAATCCTTTCCTGCTTAATAACTTAAAAGGATTCAATTTCCCCGCTCATTTACTGTACATTGTTATTGGTTGCGATATAGCATTCCAAGGTTAACATTTCATGCTTGAAAAATATAAAAATATTGGCCTATACTATGAGTCATACGTTTTTCAAAACTAAATTAAGATACATCATCACTTTAGGACCTTTTAATTCGTGCATGTGTTCCTCTTCCTCCTTGTTTATGATGTTGTTGTTGTTGATGTTGATGATGATGATGATCTTTTTAATCTAGACTAGACTACTCATTTCACATTTCCTTAATGTAGTTGATACTTTTGCAAGCGTTTTGTTAGCACCACGGTATTTAGTGTGCATGGGGGTTGCAGAACAGATTTTCGGACAAAAGCCATATGGCACAAATTATGAAGTATTGCCCTCAAGGCCCGGCTTATAGCAGCAGTGTGCAGGATGTTCCTATCATTTCTGCCTGTGTCTTACTTAGCCAATTTTCATTAAAACTTTTGCTGACCCTATCACACGTTTTTAAAAATGAGAATATCATAGTATAGTGTTTCAATAATGATATAGTTATATGGTCTGTCTTGACACTTTGGTTATGTGTGCTTCTTACTTGCGCTCACACACATACACACACACACACACACACACACACACACACACACACACACACACACACACACACACACACACACACACACACACACACACACACACACACACACACACACACACACACACACACACAAACAAACACACACACACACACACAGGGATATATCATGCTTGAAAAACAGGTATTCAGAGATATATGTTGTTCCATGCATAATGGTGAGGGTGCTCCAGACATCTATTGAGTCAAGTTCTATTTTGGGAGAATGCTTTGTCAGTACCCTTGTTCCAATGTAATTATGTCATAATTAAAATATAAATGGTTGTTTTTATCAAAATGTAATTTTGGTGCATATTGCCTTGCCTGTATTGCTTCAGTTACTTGCAACAGGTGGGCTGCATGCAATGATGTATATAAAGCATCATTGGCTGCATGCAGGTACACAGCCTGGGCTGAAAGTCCTGGACAAAAGGAACACCTTTGTGAGAATGCCGTTCATTCACTACAGCTCAGCGTTCAACACCATAGTGCCCTCAAAGCTCATCACTAAGCTAAGGACCCTGGGATTAAACACCTCCCTCTGCAACTGTTTCCTGGACTTCCTGACGGGCCGCCCCCAGGTGATGAGGGTAGGCAACAACACATCCGCCATGCTGACCCTCAACACGGGGGGCCCTCAGGGCTGCGTGCTTAGTCCCCTCCTGTACTCCCTGTTCACCGACTGCGTGGCCGCACACGACTCCAACACCATCATTAAGTTTGCCGACGACGGTGGTAGATCTGAACACCGATGACGATGAGACAGCCTATAGGGAGGAGGTCAGAGACCTGGCAGTGTGGTGCCAGGACAACAACCTCTCCCTCAACGTCAGCAAGACAAAAAGCTGATCATGGACTACAGGAAACAGAGGGCCAAGCAGGCCCACATTCACATTGACAGGGCTGTAGTGAAGCGGGTCGAGAGCTTCAAGTTCCTCGTTGTCCACATCATTAAGGAACTATCATGGTCCAAACACACCAACACAGTCGTGAAGAGAGCACGACAACGACTCTTCCCCCTCAGGAGGCTGAAAAGATTTGGCATGGGCCCTCAGATCCTCAAAAAGTTCTACAGCTGCACCATTGAGAGCATCTTGACTGGCTGCATCAGAGGGTAGTGTGTACGGCCCAGTACATCACTGGGACCGAGCTCCCCTCCATCCAGGACCTCTATACCAGGCAGTGGTAGAGGAAGGCCCTAAACATTGTCAAAGACTCCAGCCACCCAAGTCATTGACTGTTCTCTCTGCTACCACATGGCAAGTGGTATCAGAGTTTGAAGTCTGGGACTAAAAGGCTCCTGAAGAGCTTCTACCCCAAAGCCATAAGACTGCTGAACAGTTAATCAAGTGGCTACCCTGACTATTTGCATTGACCTCCTTTTTTTTGCACTGACTCTCTTGCACTGGCTCTATTCTGATTTGATTTGATTTGATGCACACTCACTGGACTCTACCTACACACTCACACATACTACACTGACACTCCAACACACACACACACACACACACACACACACACACACACACACACACACACACACACACACACACACACACACACACACACACACACACACACACACCCACACACACACACACACACACACACACACACACACACACACACACACACACACTACATATGCTCACACACACATAATACACCCCGCACACATGCATATTGACGCCACACACACACTCACACATAGACACACATTTACATACGCTGCTGCTACTCTGTTTATTATCTATCCTGATTGCCTAGTCACTTTTACATCCACCTACATGTACATTACCTCAATCACTTAAATCACCTCGTACCCCTGCACATTGACTTGGTACCGGTACTCCTTGTATATAGCCTCTTTATTGTTATTTTATTGTATTACTATTTCCTTTCCCCCCCCCTATTTGCTAATTTATTTATTTTTCGTACTTTTTAACTCTGCATTGTTATGAAAGGGCTTGTAAGTAAGCATTCCACGGTAAAGTCTACACATGTTGTATTTGGCGCATGTGACAAATACAATTTAATTTGATTTGAAAGTTTGTCCATGCGCTGAAGTACTCCCCTGTATGATCTCCTTATAGGAGAATAAGGAAACATTAATAATGTTATAAGACGAGTAACTATGATAATTAATAATACTAATAATAATAATAATAATAATTAGTAATTATACTGAACAAAAATATAATTGAAATATGTAAATTGTTGGTCCCATGTTTCATGAGCTGAAATAAACGATCCCAGACATTTTCCATACGCGCAAAAAGCTTATGTCTCTAACATTTTGTGCACAAATTACATCCCTGTTAGTGAGCATTTCTCTTTTGCCAAGATAATCCATCCACCTGAAAGGTGTGGCATATCAAGAAGCTGATTAAACAGCATGATCATTACACAGGTGCGCCTTGTGCTGGGGAAAATAAAAGGCCACTCTATAATGTGCAGTTTTGTCACACAATACAATGCCACAGATGTCTCAAGTTGAGGGAGCGTGCAATTGGCATGCTGACTGCAAGGATGTCCACCAGAGCTGTTGCCAGAGAATTGAATATTAATTTCTCTACCATAAGCCGCCTCCAACGTTGTTTTAGAGAATTTGGCAGTACGTCCAACCGGCCTCATAAACGCAGACCACGTGTAACCATGCCAGCCCAGGACCTCCACATCCGGCAACTTCACCTGCGGGATGGTCTGTGACCAACCACCCTGAGGAGTATTTATTTATACCTGTAATAAAGCCCTTTTGTGGGGAAAAACTCGTTCTGATTGGCTGGGCCTGGCTCCCCAGCGGGTGGGCCTGGTTTCCAAGTGGGTGGGCCTATGCCATCCCAGGCCCACCCATGGCTGCGCCCCTGCCCAGTCATGTGAATTCCATAGATTAGGGCATAATGAATTCATTTCAATTGACTGATTTCCTTATATGAATTGTAACTCAGTAAAATCGTTGAAATTGTTGCATCTTGCGTTTATATTTTTGTTCAGTATATAATGCCAAACTTTCCCAAACTAGTCGCTAGTTTAGCACTATTGCATGACATATTTCAGTTTGTTCCCGTTTAACTTGAGCATGGCTGGTATAGACACCTCTGTGCAGGTATTTGACTGGTGCAGGGGCCCCTAAAAACAGTGGCGTGTGTTCATGGATGCCAAGGGGAGCCAGGCTTCCCCCCAAAATTGACCCCCCCCCCCCACCTTTCGTTTCTGGGTTTCATAATTTTCCTTCAATTCGCAAGAGGCTGAGATTATCTCACCGGAGAAAGCATCCAAGCGAGCGAAACAGCGCCCCTCTGTCTCTGTATGTGTAGGCCATCTATCTGATGCTGTCTGGTCCAAAAGAGTATGACATTGTTGTCGACCGTAGCATTGAATGCAAGGGAAGCCAGCGAGCATTTGGCCTCCCTTGATAAAAAAGTATAAAATAATAGCCAATCAGCGTTGAGCTAAACTGAGTGAGCTCAACTGTGAATGGTCCTGGCGGACCAAAAAAAAGTGTCAAGGGAAGCCAGTTG